GGTGCCGACTGTGCTCCACCATGATGACTAACAGAGGCCTGGCCCTACCAGTTGGGATGGAGTGGTGAGTGGAGACGTGGCAGGGGCAGTGCAGATGAGCTTGGGGGTGGGGCACATGAGTGAAGATGCCTCAGCTCCCTTCGTTGGAGTGTCTGGGACCCTGAGATTCCAGGTGTCCCCAGATCGCTGGATGCCCATACCTGTGTGCACCTCTTGTGGGAAGCCAGTGGCAGTGACCTTTCATTCCTTGCTGCAGCACATGGCGTGGGATGGTGGCTGCTGGGCAGGAAGGCAAACACTGAATGGCTTCTAGCTTTTGTGAAGAGAAACCGTGCTCAGGGCTGACGGATAAGAAGGGAAGCTGGGCACATCCCAGGAGTACCAGGGGGTTCCTCTGCACGGCCTGGGCTGGGGGGCCCCCAAGAGGGTAACACACCCAGATCCCACAGCTCTAGGTGGAGACAGCTCGGGCCAGCTAGTAGCAAGCTGCTCCCTCTCTCAGGGGCTCAGGTTCTGTGTAGTCCATCCCCCAGAGGGTGCCTTCCTTGTAGTAAGGGGGTCCCTGGGGTTGGTCTGGAGAGTAGAGCCGGAGGTGTGGGCAGGCCCTGGGCCCCCAGGCTTGCTGTGGCTCCAGGGCCACATCACGGAGTGATTCCTACCCTCCTGGGCACCTAAGGATCCATCCGTCAAGCCCCATACTCAGGGTGGACAGGCCTGGCTATAGGGTCAGCAGGGGCAAAATGGTTACAGAGTGCCAAGAATGACCTTGAAATTCATTTCCCAGTATGCCCAGGTCGCCTGCCCTGCCTGGGCTCCTGCCTCAGTTTCCTCTGTGGTCAGAGTCCCTCTCCTAGGTGGAGGCCCTGAACGCTGCAGGCTGCCTTCCTCTCCTAGCTCTAGTAGGGCCCATTTAACTCATCAGTACACAGTGATCACACATCTATTGTGCTCCCAGCACTTCCCAGGTGCCAGGAGCTTGTAGTGAACTCACGAAGAAAACACTTTGGCCGGGTCCTGCTCTGGCCCTGGCCCAGCTCCCAGGTCTCCTGTCCTTGTGTCGTGCCTGTGACTTCAGACCTGAGTGAACAGGGAGGAGCACCTAATTCCGTTCATCTGGAGTGGGTACTGTGCCTGCCAGCCCGACTCTGACCTCAAAGTTGGGCAGGAAGGGACCTCAGATACCTGGGCCAACGTCTTTTCCAGGGTAAGACTGATGAGCTGCTGCTTGCTTGAACACCCCCAGAAACAGGGAGCTCACCCCCTGTTGAGGCAGCTTGGCCAGGCAGGCAGCTCTCTGACGTAGGGCCAAAACCTGTCCAGGCGTCTCTAGTCCTCAGAAGCTGGGTCCTTAGAACTGTTTTTCCCCCAACCTGAATCCTCTGTGATCCACTAGGCTGACCCCAGCCCTGCTATTTTCTAGGTTGATCCCTTGTTCCATGATGGGTCTTGCCCTCTGTAAGGCTGCTGAGCCAGTGGGGGTTCAGGGGTGTTTAGGGTTTTTTTTAATAGAAATCTTTTTTTTCTTTTTAAAGCACCCCAGTGTTTTCTTTCTTTCTCCCTCCCTCCCTCCCTCCCTTCCTGCAGGTCTTACTTGCCACATGCAGGATCTTCGTTGCAGCATGAGGGATCTTTTTTTTTTTAGTTGCAGAATGAGGACTTAGTTGCGGCATACGTGTGGGATCTAGTTCCCCAACCAGGGATCGAACACGGGCCCCCTGCATTGGGAGCATGGAGTCTTATCCACTGCGCCACCAGGGAAGTCCCGGCACTCAGTTTTTTAGGGCCCTGAAGACTATCCCAGCACCTGCTCCTGGAGCTGGAAGGCAAGGGCTGGCTCTGCAGTGTAGGGGGCCCTGAGATCACCTGTGTGGAAGGTGGCCGGGAGGGGGTGTTTCCGGACAAGGAAGGCGGTGTTATGGGAGAGGGAGGTCCCTGCAGGTTGCCCTGGGGCTTCTTCTCTGTGCCTCAGTTTCCCTCTGGTGCGGGCTGGAAGTGTTCTGAGCTCCCACCAGAGGTGGGAACCTCTGGTGTTCTGAGCCCTGGAGAGGCCCCTTCTGGACTCTGAGCTTCGGGCTGGGGGCGGTCGGGGGAGGCGACAGCTGCTTTGAAACGTGGAGAATAATAAAGCAAGGAATGTCTGAGCTCAGGGGAAAAATAACCCCCGCCTGCTGGGCCTCCCACCCTGCACGTAATGAATTAAGTACAGGGAGGCATGTTTCAAGTTGGGGTGCTGGCTGGGGGAGGCTAGAAGGCTCCTAATGAGAAACAGGGTCCTGGATGGGGCCACTGGGAGCTGGGGGTTTGAGGTCACCTAACCTGACCCCTGGGGGTGCTCTCACTCCCCAGAAGCTTCCTCTCAATCTCCCTTTGTCTGAATGGGTGAGGGGCGGTCATCCTGTCCCAGCTCCATGCTGACCTCTGATCCCAGGCTGCACCCCAGTGCTGGCCCTGAAAGGTCAGAAAGGGGAGATGGTGAGGCTGATTTGGATGAATCATCTCCTCATTCTCTCCCTTCTTCAAGCATTTACTGAATGCCTACTGGGGAGGTATCTCCTGCCAGCAGGATGGTGGGGTCAACGCTGCCCCCTGCTGGACTGATTGAATCCACAGAGCCCATCAGCATCGGACCAGCAAGCCCCCAGGCCCCAGGCCACCTCCTGTCTCCAGTCTCCACAGCCCTTCCCCTTCCTCTGCCAATCCCTCTGTCCCCTATGGCCTCACCCGCCTTCCACCCCTATGTTCCTGGCCCCAGCTCAGTACTACCCCTGCCCCCTTCGCTGGGGCTTGGACATCAGTGGCTCTGGGTCCAGCTCTACCTTTCCAGTCCAACAAGGATCTGGCTTTATTATGGGTCACCTCCCCCCACCTCCTCTCTCTCCCTCCCCAGTAAACTTAATGTCCCCCCAACAAGGTCCACACTCTCAAACTTCACTCATACTCCTCCTTCTGTCTGGTGGACCCCCATTCATCTACTCCCCAAGACTGCTTTCTAAAAAAAACCACTCCTTTCCAGAGCGGCCCAGGGAACAGTGGATAAGTGAGTAATTAAACTGTCAGCAAAAGGGTAAATTCTCAGCAAGGGAGCTGTAGAGGAGTGGAGTCAGGTAGGGATGTTCCTAAGGCTCCCCAAGGATCCTGGCCTCCCAGCCTCTGCCAGCTTGGGGCAAGTCTCCCATTTTATTTTTAAGAAGTCTGACCAGGGCCCTGGAGCTTGAAATATTCTCCCCCACCATCCCTTCTCTCCCCCCCCCCCAACTTTAATTAAAACCATTGTTTTTCAAGCACATGTTAATTAAAAAGCAAACGTGTTTTGCTAAGTAATTTGGAAGCTCTGGTTATGCAAACCAGCGTCATTCCAGTTAAAAAATCTCTCACCCAGATTGCCCCAGTGTCTTGGGGGCTGAGGACCCCTGTGGCTACAGTAGATGCATATCCCTTTAGACTTTACATTCCCTGTGGAGGTCTAGCTAGGGCAGGTGTCCTCCCTGTTTCACAGGTGGGAACACAGAGGGGTTACAGAGGCCTAGAGTTCCTAGCAAGCCCAGCATCACCAACCCCCTGCAAATGTGTGCTCTGGGCCTGGGGAGCAATAGCTGGTGAGGAGGGCGATTGACTCCTGTGCCCCACCCTGCAGGCAGGGTCTTTGTCTCAGAGCCTCTGCCCAGCTGTGGGGTGAGGGGAGGAGGACGCAGGCATGACAATGCTGTGAGCCCAGCCAGGTGCTGGGCCACCTCCCTGAGGTCTTCAGCACAGCTGGGGCTACGATTAACCAAAGCTGGGACAGTAGGTCCCTGAGGTGAGGGCCCAAGGTAAGGACCAGGCCTCTGGGTTGGGGGAGCCCTGGATGCTCAGAGGTACCTGCTGCAGCCCCAGCTCCCCACTCTGTGTCTGGTGTTGCCCACAGTGTCCCCACCCTCACTCCTGGCCCTGGGAGTCTTGTAGTCCTGGGGCCCTTCACATCTTGTGCAGTAGCCTCAGGGCCCATTGCAGGGAGCCGGAGCCCCCAAGATGCAGGGTTCAGTGACCTCTAGTCCCTCCTGCTCCCTTTCCCTGGCAGGGATGGGGGCATTGCACCAAGAGGCCTTTCCAAACCCTGTCACCACTTTGCAACCTGCCTGTTGGCTCTCCCAGCTCAGAGTCCCACCAACAGCAGGGTGTCTCACATGTGTGCCGGTGTGTGCTCCATGTGCGAGTCTGTACCCAGGTGTGTGTCACTGTTCACCAGGGCCCTGGTGTGAAGTGCTCTCTCCCTGCTTCCTGAAGGAGACCAGTGTCAAGGTTCTGCAGGGATGGGGGTGGGTGGTAGTGCGGTAGTGACCAGCAAGAGGATGTCTAATGCGGGAGGGAAGGCGGACACCCACACCCCCCGCCCGGCACTGTGGAACACGATGGGCCGGCTCGCACCTTCTGCACACACACAGGGACACAGGCGGGGCGCTTGGAGTTCCGGGCCTGTGCCACCCAGCCGGCCCTCTCCCTTCCCTGCACTCAGCCTTCTTCTCTGTAAAATAAGAAGTATGTGCTGTGATGTTTGCAACTTATCACAGGCAGTGTCTCCCCAACGAGGACACACACACCCTCACAAGCCACGACACACGGTGACACACAGCGACGCACGCTGGCAGCCGGTTCCCAGAGCCCGCCCTCCCTGGGCGACGCGCCAGTGACACACACACTGTCGCCGCTCCAAATCACACCCACGTCCCGGGAGGAGCTGTACTCCCGCCGCGCTCCCCTGGGGCCCGCGGCGCGGCGCTTCTGTGTTCTGCTCCCTCCGCCGCGCCTAGAAACCGCAGTGGGCCGGCCGGGATGAGCTCACGCCGCCTCCGGCCGCCCAGGTCTAACGCGCTCCAGATGCCCCGCGGCCCGAGCCGGGAGCGCGGAGGACGGCCCTCTGGCTCCCCCTGCAGGGCTCAGCTGCTCCCGGCGGTGCAGGCACCCGCGGGACGGGGTGGGGCTGCCTCCGGAAGGGGCGGTGCTTAGCTCACCCGCCCGCTTTTCCTCCGGTTCTGCCCGCCGCCTGAGTTCGGAGCAGGGGGCGTGCTGCTGCGAAGGCTGTCCCGCCTGTCCCGCGCGGTTTCCAGGTCCCAGCCCACGACCCCCGTGGGCGGCTCAGCGGCCACGTGCTGGGTGGCGGTCCCGTCACCGGCTGCCCTCGCCAAAACATGGGATTCCAGCCCACTCCACCCCTAGTTACTCGGCCCAGCCCGGACCCTTCACCAGGTACTGCAACTCAGGCCCCCGCGCGGCCCTGACTAGGCCCTGACCACTCTTGCTCCTCTTGGAACAAACAGCCTAGTTTCTACTGGGAAAGCAGCAGGGGCCTGACCACCGCCTGTTTTTAATAAGCAGCTGGTATTTCCCCGAAATCGCGGCCCCGTGGCTGACCTCACGGGGATGACGGTTGGCTGTGGGCCAGGGGGCGGGAGCCGCCTCAGGGTGAGCCCCTGATGCCTGGCCTTGCAGAGAAGTCGGGCAGAGAGGAGGAGCTCTGGTTTCCAGTCCCAGCTCAGCTGCTGGCTCATCCAAAAATCTGTCCCTCTGTCTGTCTGCAGTGTTGTGCATCCCAGGCCAGTGCTTCCAGCGCCCCTCCTCCTCAGCTATGCCTAGGGTCCCGCTTTCCTCCTGCCTCGTTGTATGGTCCTGGTAAACTGCTTAACGTCTCACCTCTCATTTCCTCCACTGTAGGATGGGGTCATTGTGGGATTTGAGAGGGGACCAGCAAGGGAGAGCAGATGGACCCTAGGAACAAGTAATTTCCAGAGGGCTGGAGGAGGAGTCTCTCGGGAGCTAAGGGGCCAGGGATCAGGCCTTGGTCTTCCTGGGCCAGAGTTGGGGAGGTAGAGGAAGGGCCTCCGGAGAGATAGATAGATAGGGCAGCACAGATGTCCTGGCAGAATGACAGTGTTCAGTGAAGGGTCAGCATAGGGGGCTTGGGACACCTGGAGTCAGAGAAGGGTGTCAGGAAAGGCTTTCCAGAGGAGGCGGTGCTGAGTGAGGTGCACTTAGGCTAAGACCTGGGGCGAGGGGCAGAGTACTTAGGCAATGAAGGGGTGGGGTGGGGGACAGAGTGGAACCAGACAGCTGGGTCCAAGGCATCTCTGGTAGTGAGTGGAGACTCTGCTGGAGGCACCATAGGGCGTGACGGCCCTTGGGAACTGGTCCTGAAGCCGCATCTGTAACTGAGGGACAAAGACAGAAAGCCAGAGGAGGACACAGGGTCCAGTGGAGGGACAGAGGCCAGGAGCCACAGGGGGAGCAAGGAGACAGGGAGAAGAGTTGTAGCAGGCAGATAGGTGTGCGTTGGACATATCTGGTAGCTGGAAGATTTGTTTGCTCTGGAGCTTGCATTTTGCAGATGCTTGGGGCCCCTCCTCAAAAGAACAACAGCAACAGTGAGTAATACTTTTTGAGCAAAGCGTGTGCCAGGCGATGCTCTGAGCACTTGCAGGTATTAACTCATTCTCTCCTCACTAGAATTTTATTCATTTGTTCATTCATTCAGCAGATGTTTGTTGAGTACCTGCTGTGTGCTAGACATGTTCCAGGTGCTGGGAATCCAGCAGTGACAGGACATACAAAAACCCTGTCCACAGAAAGTTTACATGTGGAAGGGGAAGACAGCTCATGTATATGTGAGTAAAATGAATAGTATTTCAGATTGTGAGAAGCGCTACAGAGAAAATTAGAGGATAAGGGGGATCAAGAGGGCAGAGTAGGGGGGCACACTTCTTGAGAGGGTGTCCTGGGAGAGCCTCAACGGGGAGGTGACATTTGAGTACAGACCAAATCTGACTCACCACCTCTTAGCTGAGAATAGTTTTTACAGAAGAGCATTTGCGATCATTTCCAAGATAGGGAACACTAATTTTGATGTTATCCCCCTAAAAGAATTCCATTCTTCTTAGTAGACCCGTATTACCCCAAACCAAAACCAAAACCGAAAAAACAAACAAAAAAAACCCCCCAAAAACTAGTACTCAGTTCTTCCAATTATATTTTGAATTTCATCAATAAACATTGATGGAAATTCATTTTCTCTTTTGTTATATAAGTACCTGTATAATCTCGATTTTGTCTCTTGGTCCACAAAGCCTAAGATATTTACTATTTGGCCCTTTACAGAAAAAGTTTACTGATCCTGGTATAGACCCACCCGGTGAGGAAATGAGCTGTGTGGACATCTGGGGGCAGAGGGAACAGCCAGTTCAAAGGCCGGGAGGCAGGAGCTAGTGCGGCACATCGAGGAGGCCAGCAGGGTTGGAGCCCTGTGAGTGAGGGGGAGAGTGATAAGAAAGGGTCAGAGGAACCCAGGCAGATGATGCAAGGTCTTGTGCCAATTCCTAGGTATTTTTTTAAGAAGTGTGTATGGCTATCTTTAACGGAATATCTTTTTTTTTTTCTATTACATTTTCTAATTTATTATTGCTTCAGGGTAGAAAGTTATTGATTTTGTATATTGATCTTTTCCCCAGCCCTCTTAGTTTATTCTCTTATAGTTTTATTAATTTTTCACTTGGTTTGTTTGGCTTTGTTTTAGAAAGCAATTATATCTTCCACAAATGATGCATTTTGGTCTTCCTGCCTATATATAGCTCAGTTTCTTCCTTTCTTTACCTTCCTCCACTCCCCTTCTGCTTGTCTCCCTACTCTCTCCCCTAACTTCCTTCCTCTCTCCTCTCCATAAGGCACAGGGTTTCAATCTCTTCACATCCTTACCAACACTTGTTATTTTCTGTGTTGTTGATTTTGGATTGTTTATTTTTAGCCATCATAATGGGTGTGAAGTAGTATCATATTGTGGTTTTGATTTGTATTTTCCTAATGTTAGTGATGTTGGTTATCTTTTCATGTGCTTACTGGACATTTTTGTATCTTTGGAGAAATGTCTATTCAATTTCTATGTCCATTTTTAAATTGGGTTTTTGTTGTTGAGTGCAGGAGTTCTTTACATGCTCTGGATATCAATCCCATATCAGATATATGAATTGCAAATATTTTCTCCCATTCTGTGGACTATCTTTCACTCTACTGATAGTGTTTTTTTGCAGCACAAAAGCTATTAATTTTTTTTATTACTAATTAATTAGTTAATTTATTTTTGGCTGCGTTGGCTCTTCGTTGTTGCGCGCGGGCTTTCTCCAGTTGTGGCGAGCGGGGGCTACTCTTCATTGCAGCGCGCGGGCTTCTCATTGTGGTGGCTTCTTGTTGCAGAGCACGGGCTCTAGGTGTGCGGGCTTCAGTAGTTGTGGCACGCGGGCTCAGTAGTTGTGGCTCACGGGGGGCTTTAGAGCACAGGCTCCGTAGTTGTGGCGCACGGGCTTAGTTGCTCCGCGGCATGTGGGATCTTCCTGGACCAGGGCTGCAACCCGTGTGCCCTGCATTGGCAGGTGGATTCTCAACCACTGCGCCACCAGGGAAGTCCCGGGATTGTTTTCTTAATTTCCCTGAGGTATAATTTAAATGAAATAAATTGCACATATTTGACTAGTTTTGAGAGATACATATTTTTGTAAAGCCACAACAATAATCAAGATACAGAACAATTCCATCCCCTGTAAAAGTGCCCTTGTGTCCCTTCACAGTTCATTCTTCCCTCTGCCCCTGGCCCAAGGCAACCACTGCTCTCTCTACCTTCTGTCACTATAGATTGGTCTACATTTTCTGGAATTTTTTTTGTGTGTGTGTGGCACGCGGGCCTCTCACTGTTGTGGCCTCTCCCGCTGCGGAGCACAGGCTCCAGACGCGTAGGCCCAGCGGCCATGGCTCACGGGCCCAGCCGCTCCGCGGCATGTGGGATCCTCCCAGACCCGGGCACGAACCCGTGTGCCGTGCATCGGCAGGCGGACTCCCAACCACTGCGCCACCAGGGAAGCCCTGGAATTTTATATGAATTTTTATATAAATGGAATAATTCTGTATGGGTCTGACTTCCTTCACTCAACATAATGATTTTGAGATTTACCCATACATTTGTATGTATCAGGAGTTAGTTAAGTAATTAATTAGTTAACTTTTGATGTGTATGGATGTCATATTTTGTTTATCCAGTTACCTGTCAGTGGTCATTGTTTTTTTTTTTTTTTCCCAGTATTTGGCTTTTGTTCAGTTTTTACTGGGCCATTTGTCTTCTTACAGAGCTGTAAGTGTTCTTCATATGTTCTAGATACAAATATTTTGTCATATATGTATTGCAAATATTTTCTTTCAATCTCTACCTTGAATTTTCATTCTTTTAACCGTAGTTTTCAAAGAGCAAAATTTTAAAATTTTGATGAAGTCCAATTTATCAATTTTTTCTTCTATCACTTGTTTTTATGTCTTATTTAAGATATATTTGGCTACTTCAAGGTTACACAAATTTTCCCTCATAGTTTTTTCTAGGAGTTTTATAGTTTTTGGTTTGACATTTGAGCCTGTCATTGATTTCTGGTTAATTTTTGGCTTAATTTCCTTTTTGATTGTTCACTGTTAGTGCATAGAAATGCAACAAATATTTGCATGTTAATTTTGTATCCTGCAACTTTTCTGAATTCATTTATTATCTCTAACGTTTTTTTGTGGAATCTTTAGGGTTTTCTATATATAAGATCCTTTCGCCTAATTGGCTGGCTAGAACTTTCAGTACAATGCTGAGTAGAAGTGGTGAAAGTGAGCATCCTTGTTTAGTTCCTGATCTTAGGGAAAAGCTTTTAGTCTTTTGCCATTAAGTATGATATTCATTGTGGGTTTTTCATATATGGCCTTCATCATATTGAGGAAGTTTCTTTTTGTTCCTAGTTTATTGTTTGTTTTCTTTTTTGATCATGAAAGGGTGTTAAATTTTGCCAAATGCTTATTGCCTCAATTGAGATGACATGTATGTATATGTATGTGTGTGTGTTTCTTTTTCTTCTTTGAACATGTGTAAAATAACTATTTTGAAGTCTTTGTCTACTATGTCCAACACATGGGGCCCCTCGAAGACCCCATAAATTAAGTTTCTCCTATCTGCTTCTTTTCCTATGTATTGGTTAAACTTTCCTGTATCTTTTGCTGACAAAAAATTAATCAATAGTCAATCTAAGAAAGAAGTAGAAAATTTTATTTGAGCCAGCCTGAGGATTATAACCTGGGAGACAGTTTTTCAGAAAGTTCTGAGGGGGCTTCCCTGGTGGCGCAGTGGTTAAGAATCCTCCTGCCAATGCAGAGGACATGGGTTCGAGCCCTGGTCGGGGAAGATC